GGTTGCATAACATGATGAACGTAATCTATGTCACTGAATTATAGTAAAAAATGTTGAAATGATATTTTGTTATATATATTTCTACCACAATAAAACAATTAAAAGAAAAAAAAAAGACGTCACCAGGGTCATCTCCTCTCATTCCACACGTCTGGTTTAGGCCTACACAAGCAAACAACAAATGGTATTTCTAACCAGCGGCCACGCATCATCTCACCCCACACATCAGAAAGCCCAACAGGCCTGCAATCAGAACACCTCTAAGCGGCAGGCCCACTTTTACAAGCTCTGGCCGGCCCGGCGACTGATTGCCTGCTCTAACACCGCGTCAAAGTAACAAACGGCCCTGCGAATCCCTGTAAAACAGAACCCTGCCAGCAACACTCCCACCCCACTCCCCCATATCCTGATTTTCTGGGGGTCATTAATCTTTGGGGAGGGTGCTGGTAGCCAGCAGTGGGGAAGCAGCAGGGGGTTGGAGCAGAGGCCTAGGAGTAGCGGGTAGTGATTTGAAGGGGGCCCCCAAGACTCCAGTAGGGGGCCGGAAGTCCAGGAAGGCCGTGCTCAGCAAGGTAGCGTGCGCCAACCCTGCCGAGATGGACCTGGCCCTCTTCCCCAGGTTGCATTTCTCGGCTCCCAAGGAACCCAGACAGCCTAGTGCATTTCTTCAGCTATCACTTCGGCCACTAACATATTCTGGGAGGGCCAGAAAGGAATCAAAACTAAATTTAGAATCGCAGAGAGGAGGGGAAAAAAAAAAAAACAAAAAAATCTCAACATACAGGTTATAGGTCTAAATACTCACAAAATGTCCAGTGTACTTCGGTCTCGTATGCTTCGGAAGAAGTTGTCCCCTCCAGTTCTTGATGTTTGCTCGAGTCTGGGATAAAGGAGGAACTGAGGAAGAAACTAGCATTTATAGAGCACCTTCTGTTTACTGTACAGTAACGACACCACATGCTTTCATCCTCATAACACGGTGAGGGTAGGTGTTATTTCCAGAGGCTCAGAAAGGTGAAGTCACCTGCCCACGGCTAATGGCTAGGAGCGGCAGACATGCTCCATCAACCCTGCCGAGCTCCCGTTTCTCTCCTGTAAAGTGGAAACGCACCCTCTACTCTGCAGAGGAGAAGCCCCGGTGGTGCCGCGGTTAACGCGGCCGCCTGTTAACCGAAAGGTCGGCGGGTCGAACCCACCAACTGCTCAGCACAACTGTAGCAGTCTGCTTTCTACAGATTTACAGTCTTGGAAACCCTGTAGGGCAGTTCTACTCTGTCCTACAGCGTTGCTATGAGTCGAATCAACTGGACAGCAAATGGGTTTATAGGGTTACTAGGAGCCCTGGTGGCGCAGTGGGTAAGAGTTCAGCTGGTAACCAAAAAGTCAGCAGTTCGAATCCACCAGCCACTCCTTGGAAACCCTATGGGGCAGTTCTACTCTAACCTATAGGGTCGCTAAGAGTGGAATCGACTCGACGGCAGTGGGTTTTTACTCTGCAGAAGTAGGTGACGTGGTTGGTGTCCCTAGCTCCTGGCCTAGCACGCAGGACAATAAGGACACGCAAGCCATTCCTGAGGCAGCCCGAGGGGGCGAGGGCTGGATGGAGCGGTGGCGGCGGCAGGTTCTTGACTGGCGCTCATGCCCCCAGGTGCTTTGCGGTTCCAGCCTCCACAGGGGAAGGAGGGGGCGGAGGAGGTAGAGCGAGGCCTGGGCTCAGTCCGGGTCTGTCCTTGCTGCGTGTGACTGCCAGTTACATTAGCGACTGACCCTTTCTAAGCTTCAGTTGCTCAGCTATAAATCAGGGATAATGGGAGGGGGCTATCCGGGCTGGAGTCGCCAGGAGGGTCGTGAGGGTTGAGCAAGATCTTAGGTCTCCTACCACTCCCCAGCTCTGGAGCTCCTCCTACTTTCTAACTTCCTGCTTCTCCCGGTTCTGTTCACCTTTGCCGGAAGCTTGGAAAAGTCATCCCTTTCCGGAAGAGTTAAAACTAAGATGAAGGGGGCTCCTCAATACATCTCTTTTTAAGCACTGTACTTGGTGCTCTGGGGTCTTGGGGTGGTGCAAACGGTTAACCTGCTCCGGCTGTTAGCTGAAAAGTTGGTGGTTCGAGTTCACTCAGGCACCTCGGAAGAAAGGCTTGGCAATCTACTTCCCAAAAATCAGCTATTGAAAACCCTCTGGAGCACAGTTCTACTCTGACACACATAGGGTCACCATGAATCGGAGTCGACTTGGGTGGCCACTGGTTTACTTGGTTCTCTAGTGAAGGAGCCAAAACTTTACTATGACCGTTAAAAAGCTCCACACTATATTTCCTCTAGGGGGTTGTCACCGTTAACGTTTGAGCATCCACAGAGCCCACTGGAAGGGGAAGTGGGCCACATTTCACTAAAGCAGATGCTCTTAGGAGACCAAGGGTCTTGCAGTTCTAACAATTGTTTTCTGTGAGAAATTGTCTTCCGAAGTCGACACCCACCCAGCCACCCCGAGGGTCAGCAGGAATTGGTGGAAAACAGCTCAGAGGAAGTACAGCTGTTCCCTCTAAGGAGCACACGTGGGGAAAGCCAGGCCTAGGAAGAGGGGGTGTTCCCGGGGCTTCGATACAGAGCATTCCTTTTGCTTGAGGCATCAAGCCCAAAGAGCTGCAGTGTCCACTTGGGAATATGACTTAACCATAGGCGGGAAGGGCCTCCTCACAAAAACAGCCCGGTGCGCACACATCCTTCTCCAAAGGAAACTCCTTCCCACCCCATGCGCAAGAACGCCTGTCTCTGCTGAGGCTCAACCGCCACCCTGTCTCCAACCAGACAAATATCCCAAAGACAGTGAACTGATAGGATGTGTTTATATTTACATGTACATTTTTAAAGCAATGGCTACATTGGTCATACATATTAGAAACCATAAAAAAAAGTTAAGAACTAAAATGTACATCATACACTTGTATATGTATTTTTTACACAGAGGTAATAAGGCTTATTATAAAAAAATCAATACAACAGGGTTTTTAGTATACAGGTAAAGAATGAATTATGCTTCAGGCACTTTAATTTGTTAATGTGAGCAAATAGCTTGGGGGCGGGTAGGGGGAAGCTTCCAAACAGAAAATCTTTTGGTTAATGTTTTGTTACCACAGATACAAAAATAAAATCTGAATAATTTCTTTCAAATGATTGACGTCAGTATGGCAAAGCTGACTGGGAAAATACTACACACTGTTCAGCTGCAGTGTGGCAATTAGAGAGAGACTTATTTACATAAATGTCTCCATGTCTGTCCTTGTGCCCTTAACCGCTGCCTTCACAAACCAAAAAGTATACGCGGAGTAAGATTCACTATCATAACTCTCGAGAGGGGTGGAAAAGGACAAGGGAAAAAGGAAGATAGAAACGACTAAATAAAGACGACAATAAGCGGCTGGGACGTGTGTATTCTTACTGAAATAAATAGGGGCATTTGAACTGAGATCTAACAAAACATACATTAGTGTTGTGCTTTGTAGAGAGGAGACCTTAGAGCAAGACCCAGAGGAAATACCTCAAGGGGGAAAGTTGGTCTCTCAACAACTTTTGGAGGCTGGCTGAAGGTTTTCTAGATGTTCTCCAGGCATGGAAGAACATCTGCTCCTTTCTAAACTGGAAGGCCCAAACCAGTAACTCCAACAAATGAAAACGGCTACCAACTAACTCATAAGCACGATGGGTATTTATACCGATGAGCTGACTGAAGAATTGTGATGGGCTTTCAGACGAGCTGAAAACATACCCATGAAGGTGAGCATGGCTAGCACTTTCCTAATAGGATTGGCAGACTGGAAAAAAGTCCCTTTCCTTGAAGACCGATGTTCTGTGTGCAATAAAGGAGGGGCGGGGGAAGGGGAGAGAGGGAGGGCAGGCCATGCCCTCAGCTGGCAATAAATCACCACAGGAAGATCATGGTGGGAAGAACAGCCAGCATCAGCAAGGCGGTTCCCTGTGGTCCCCACAAGGTTCTGATTGTACTATGCTAGGCACAGGTAACCACTCTTCATTTCTCGTCTTCCTTTGATAAGAAGATTTGGCTTTTCCTTGCAATATATTAGAAAAATACTCTTCTCCAGCTAATTAGAAGCCTCCTACATGGCAAGGCGACAGGCAGAACCAGTCTGCTGACCTAACCATCTGTGCACCCAATGTGGCAAGTCTGGGTTTGGAGTTGAAGGAGAAAGACACTTAGGCATTGAGAGGGTTTTTACATATGGCCTTGTTTTTTCCCAACTATAAACGAAGGATTTGGTGACACGAAACTGAGTCCAAAACAAAAACCCACGAACAAAATGCAACACACCACTCTTCAGATTTATGACATTTAAAATTCCCTCATTAATAGTATAAAACAGCCACGGGGTGGGGGGGAGTCCTATAGTTTTATTCACCATAATCTTAGTGTTTCTCAACTGGAACTGGTTTGTGGGGCACTGGTTTGTGTTTGAGTAGACTATTTGGTTTGCAACACATCGAGCAAAATTTCTTACTTCATTAGTGTTTTATTTGAATATTGCTAAATTTTTAGAAGTGGCAACACAATTTTAAAAAGTTCTATTTTTAACTAGGGAGGCTTGTAAAAAGCCCTGGTGGTGCAGTGGTTAAGCACTTGGCTGCTAACCGAAAGGCTGGGGATTCAAATCCACCAGGGGCTCCACGGAAGAAAAACCTGGCCATCTGCTTCCATAAAGATGACAGCCTAGGAGACCCTATGGGGCAGTTCTACTCTGCCCTATGGGGTTGCTATGAGGTGGAAAAGACTCCGCGGCAACGGGTTTGGTTTTTTTTTTTTTTTTTTAAGGGAGGCTCTAGAAACCTAGATCCCTTTCTAGCCCTGGTCCAAGAGGATGCGATGCAGTTGAAGGGTTTTTCCTGATTCTCGCAAGTTAATCTAAAGTTAAGGCTCAGTTCTCAATCGTTTTACGGGTTAATGTTTTGCATCAGTGAGTAATTTCAACAGTGCTTTTTTTGGGGGGGGTGGGTGGGCAGAAAATGATGAGCTAAAGACAGAGAAGTGTAGCTTAGGTGGGAAATTTGGCTTTAGAATAGTTAAAGCGATATTGTTTTGTGGTACGAGTTTGTTAACTAGCTCACCTCCTATACATAATAACTGACTGCAGGTTGAAATACTCGTGGTAGGGTTTCATCATTCTGACATCACATTTCCGCAGGAACCCACGCTTGCGAGAAACAGGCAAGCAGAACCAAGAGAAAAAGAGAGTCTCGCGATGCTCTTTGAAAAATCAACTACAAAACCCACCAAAAATCAGCAGTTCAGACCGCAGACTCCTTTGAACTGGAAGAGGAGGGGAGGAAAGACAGGAAATAAACACATGGATAAGACATTTAGCTTGATTACAGATTGTTAATAATACATGAAAGTCTACGCCGAAGGTTCCTTTCCATAGAACACTGTGCGTGCGTGTGTGCATGGGTGTGTGGCTGCCGCAGTGAGGATGGCTGGGGTCGGGTGGAGAGTCCGCAAGGCAGGTTTCCCCAGGCTGGAATGGTGCCTCAGGTACCAGGGAGCTGGGAGGCCTCCTGCTCTTCTTGCTCCTTTGAGTGGAAGGGAGCAGGGGAGAAGGGGAGAGTATGGAAGAGACAAGTTCTTTTGTGGCTGTGGATGGAACAGGGGGAAGGACGGAAACTGAGTCAAACGGCCGCTTTGTGCTTCCCGCCACAGCACCTGCACATCACTCCGCAGTGGTAGCAGGCCCGAAGGGGCAGGTAACAGCACATACAGGGGGCCAAGAAAGACAAGGCAATAAGAGCCATCCACCGGAGGCAAAACTTCTCGTCGCTAGTATCGCACGAGCAAGGGTCTGTATAGTCTCCCTCGGGGTCCGACATACAGTGATAGAGCATGCTGTCCGCACACCACATACAGCTCACCCGGCGGATGCAAGTTCTCACGGAGTCGGGCGCGTCCTGACAGTGGCCCCTCCGGTTCTCCTCGTGGTTGAACATGTCCCTGCAGTACACGCACCGGGAGCGCTCACCGTCCTCCTTCCGCCGCCGGGACTTGCCCCGGGAGGGCTGTGTCTTGATCACGCAGCCCCCGCGGCCCTTGGGGTCCTCGCCGAGGCCGTAGTCCGAGGAGTCCACATAGGGGTAGTTGTAGTCGTGCTTGGGCACCTCGCCCTTGGCGAAGCGCACGTAGGAGTCTGCGTCCTCCGAGGGGTCGAGGTACTTGCCCCTGACCGGGGCGTGCCGGTAATCCTCGTAGCCTGTCATCCAGATCTTCTCCCTGGGGTTGATGCGCACGATCTCCTCATCGTCGTCCGGAAAGCTCACCTGGCGGTAGGACCTTGGCATCGGCTGCCCCAGGAAAAAGGAGACAGTAATTTATAGCAGTGACCAAAAACACACCCTCACCGCCCGATTCTCCAAGGATGTGTATCTTCCACCTTTACCAAGGCAATTCTTTCTTTTTTCTTAAATAACATTTTATTGTGTTTTAGGTGAAAGTTTGCACAGCAAATCAGGTTCCTCTTGAACAATTTTTGTACAAATTGTTCTGTGGCATTGGTTACAATTTTTACAATGTATCAGCATCCTCATTTCCATTTTGTTTGCTCTGTTTCCATTGATTTAGCTTCTCTGCCCCTCCTTGCCTTCTCTTTGCTTTTGGGTAACCGTGGACCATTCGGTCTCATACAGGGAATTGTTTAAGGGGCACATTACTCACAGGTGATAGTGTTTATTTTATAAGCCAATCCATTATTTGGCTGAAAGGTGACCTGCAGAAATAGCTTCAATTCCAAGTTCAAAGGGTATCTTAGGATAGTCTTGGGGGTTTCTCTAGTCTCTATTGGTCTAGTAGGTCTGGCCTCTTTTTTAGGAATTTGAGTTTTCTTCTATATTCCTCTCTCATCCTATCCAGGACCCTCTTTCGTGTCGCTTTACCAAGGCATTTCCTGAAGAAACTGACCATTCCTAGAATTATCCAACAATCTCGTAGGTCAAAGATGTATCAAATTGGGAGTCTCAATTCACACTGTATCAAGGAGTCAACTTAATGGGTCAAGACCAACATTTTTTCCATTGTGCTGAAGTAGAGCACGTACAGAGAAAATACATGAGTACAGCTTGATGAATTTTCATAAGCTGAACACACTCCATCAAGAAGCAGAACATGAACAGCTGATTAATTTCACCTGTTTTTATATCTCGTATGTTCTGTTTTGTATGATTGACTTTTTTTTTTTTTTAATGGACTAGAATATGAGAGTGTACTGCATATTATAAGGGTAAGAACTGTTTCATGAAACTTGTCATTATCTCTGTGTGTGTACTACGTGAGTCCTGGGTCCTGATATAAAATGCATTTCTCACTGTGGGTCATGTTCCAAAAAGCAATAGGGGATCCTAGGAAACATAAGGCCCACAAGCTCCTCGGAATCTAGTCGGGAAGATGGGATGCACGGATATGAAAAGGATAAGCGTGCAGGCTCCGGAGGCAAACTGCCTGGGTTCGAATCCTGCCAGGATCTCACAGATAGTGGGTGGCTGACCTGGAATTGGAGCCCAGGCAGGCCAGCCCCAGGGCCATAACCCCTAGCCTTCAAACCCAAACTGCATTTTCCCTTAGGGTGAAAGACTTCACTGCAGTTACTCGGGCCACAGTTTACAGCAATGGCTTGTCCAGAGCAGCAGGCGCTGAATGAATATGTATTGAATAAATGCGTGTAAGCCTGCCCTGCACAGCGCATCTCAGCTGTGGCAGAGAGTTAAATCTCCCATTTTTGAGTCCTTGGACATGAAGGTTTTTTTTAGGGGTGAGGAGTATGGCTCTGGAGTGAACCCACTGGAGTCAAATCCTGACTACAGAATTTACTAGCAAGTTGCTAAGACTCAGTTTCTCTGTCTACAAAACCGCATATGACTGTTGTCAGGATGAAAAGAAATAATCTAGGTCAAGTATTAGAGTCCTTGGGTGGCGCAAACGATGAACCACTCGACCTTTAGCAGAAAGGCTGGTGGTTCAAGCCTACCCAGAGGTGCCTTGGAAGACAGGCCTGGTGATCTGCTTCTGAAAGGTCACAGCCTTGAAAACCCTATGGAGCAGTTCTACTCTGCACACATGGGGTCACCGTGGTATGGAATCAACTTGACGGCAACTAACAACCACTACCAGCCAAGTGTCAGCACACAGCCTGGCACAAGGAAGCGCCTGATACCTGCTGCCATTACAGTCACTATAATGTTGTTATAGAATTTATCACATAGTGGTGATTACGGTAGATTGACCCGTTGCTTCCTGCCAGTCCATGAGCTCCTTGAGGGTAGGGGCTACGTCTGACTTGCTCTGCCCTAATTCTTACTCAGATTCTTGACATCAGAGTTTCCCAGACCTTGGAAAAATAAAAATCCAGAGGGCTTTCAAAACAAATCATGGGAGCTGACACGGGCTTTGCTAATATTTTACTTTGCAAAGCAAGGACAGTCAAAGAATGAATTCCCATCTAGCACTACCATAATGTGATTTTAACAAAGAACATTTTAATACCAAACATTAGAAAGCACACAATAAAATAATTTTTTTTTAAAAGAGCCAAATAAATCTAGCTTATGTTAAAAAAAACTCACTGCCCTGAGCTTCCTTGCGCCCTGAGCTTCCTTGTGCTCATTTCAAAGCACACTGGTGGGCACACCCCCCCCCCAGACCCCCCACCCATGCCCCTCGGTTTGGGAACCTGCTCCTCAGAGCAGCTGCCTGGTAAATATTTGCTGAATCACTGAATTCCAGGCTCCAGCTACATGGCCCTGAGCGAGACTGCGCCTGCAGCCCTGATATCAGGGGGCCAGAGACAAGTGTGAGGCATTCTTTCATCCGATCATGAGCTCTATGCTTTCTCACAGAGGCAGCAGGTCCTCTTCTGAGGACACGGGAGGCAGTGCAGCACCCGGGGTGAGGACAAACCTGGATTTGAATCTTGTTCCTTCTCTCTAAGCTTCAGTTTCTTCATCTATAAGCTAGGAATGCTGAGCACCTGCCTTGTGTGTGTGTGGGAGGGCGAGTAATTTGTGAGGATTAAACGAGATGAAGTGTCAAAGGGCTTAGTGAGGTGCCTGGCACCTAGAAAACCCTATGTAACAGGGAGCTGCCACCACCTCCCTTCAATGTGGGGTGGGGGTACAAAGTAGGAGTGCAGAAGAGGCCTGGGCTTGGGGTGCTTGGTCAAGCAGGAGAGGAAGGAGACCGTTCTAGAATTGGAGCCACCCATTCTGATGACCACAGAGGAATGAGGTGGCTGCTTACCTGTTCGAGGTGAGAGTGGTCCGTGGGGTACGGGTCATGGAGGTGGCCCAGGGTGTAAATTCTCCGGTGCTCACAGGATGTAGGAGAGGAGATTGTCCGAGTAGGTTGTTCCCTCTTCTGAGAGGAGTTAGAAGAACTGTCTGTAGCGGTCTGTGTGGTGGGAGGACGGCAACAGTTAATTAAAACAAAAACGAAAAACCCACACATCAAACCCTAACACGAACTATTCATATGCGGTCTATTCACCAGTTGTGGTGGCTTGCTGGACATCCCAAAATCTTGAGTTTATCCTGGCTGCGGGAGGCAAGAGGACCTCTGGAGGGCCAGAATGTCAAAACGTGATGGGGCTGGCTCAAGGAGGGGAGAAAGGCAGCCACCAGACCCTGGAAAGTTGGGCTTGTTTTCTCAAATGCGGGAGCAGCAACCAGGGAAGGGCTCCCCACACCAGGGCTCCCCAGTTAGTCAGGAATGGTTACCTCACTGTGGCCCTGAAAAATTAAACCCTAAGGTTTACACATGGGCTAATCCCAGCCTGGAAAGCTCTCAGAGGTAAGAATGTCTTGGGATAGCATGAACACTGACTTTCCAGGAAGAAATCTTGTCATCTTTGGGGTTGGAGGCCAGCCTTGGAGGTCACTGTAATCTAAGAGTGAGATGGATGATTGCAGAAGATCCGGCTGCACAGAGGGGAGAAGGCATTATCTCAAGAGGGTGACAGCGGAGGTGTTTTCCCAGTAGAGTAAATAACTGAAGATTAGAGCTAGATATCAGCATGGACTGTGGCCCTGGGCACAGGGGCCTCACCTGCCACCCAACATACCACAGTGCTTCCTCCTCCCTCCTGAGACTCGGTGACGCAGGCCAGGGGATCCCAGGCGCCAGCTGCTCTCGTGCTACCCCTTTGCCAGGGCCCACGCACTCATAAAGGACCGTGTTAAATGCAGCTAGCAACCGTCCTTAAAACCAGGGTACCTCGGAATCTGCCCCCTCCCCAAACTTCTGCTTCCTTAGAGGGGTGGATCTTTTCTTTTTCACCAAACAGATGAAAAGAAAAGTTTTCTCTTGACATGCGGGTTTTTCTTGACATTCTTCTAGCAAGTATAAACCAGTTGCCATCAAGACATTTCTAACTTATGGTGACCCCATGTGTGTCAGAGTAGAACTGTGCTCCAGAGGATTTTTAATGGCTTATTTTTTTGGAAGTAGATCACCAGGCCTTTCTCTGAGGTAGTGTGGTGGTTAAGCATTTGGCTGCAAACCAATAGGTCGGCAGTTTGAATCCACCAGCCACTTCTTGGAAACCCTATGGCTCAATTCTACTCTGTGCTATAGGGTCCCTATGAGTCGGAATTGACTTGATGGCAATGGTTTTTTTTTTTTCCTTTTGAGGTGCTTCTGGGTGGCCTTGAACCTCCGACCTTTCAGTTAGCAGCCTAGCTACTCGCACCTCCCAGGGATTCCTCTAGCAAGTTCAGGGGCATTCATTCTTGGCTACTGCTGCTTGTTACTCTTACGTTCCCTTTGTCTCACTTGCTTATTTATCTATTCTACGCATTTTTGTTAGCTGCCTTAAATCCTTGTGGGCAAGGCAGGGTTAAAAACAAACAGATTTATGAAAATCCCTTTTATCCTCCTCTCCCTCCCCACTTATAAAGCAATAAATGCTCAGAAAAATGGAACTCGAAGATAGCAAGATAAAGAAAAAACAGCCATGCTTCCATTACGCAACACTGCCACTCTTAACTTTTAAAGCTTGGTGTGCGACAGGCTGTGCCTTGCGGCATGCATCAGCTCTTGGGAGAACTGGCCCCACCCCAATTCTCCCTAATTCTGATTGGTCCACGTCATGTGGGGCCGTTCCTCATTTCCCAATCCACAGTGACTAACTCAAATATGGACACACGGTCCTCTCTGAGCTCACACGAAGAGATTCTTTTTCTTTCTTCTTTTATTTTTATTTGATTTCTTTTGGTGGCAATATACAGAACCAAACATATATCCACTCAGTTTCTACATGAACAGTTTGATGACATTGGTTACAGCCTTAGAAACACTATGGATAAGTTCTACTCTGTCCTTTATGTCGGAATCGTCTCGACCGTAACGAGTTTTTTGTTTTCGTCACACACAGGAAACGGAAACTGGGTGGGAGGCAGCACCAGCCTCCTGTGCACACAGTCACCGACAGGGCAGAGCTAGGACTGAAAGGCTGGCTCCCTGACTACGGCGCCCAGTGCAATTTCCAATACACTGCACGTCGGCTCTCAAACTCGGGTGAACCCAAGTCCTACTCTGAGAGGTATTTTGTTGAGATTATCACAAGTACAACTTCTCCAAGTAAGAAGGTGCACCCTTACTTTAAGCAAACCTAGGAGATAAGGGGGTGATGGTTCATGATACAAAGGTTTCTAAAGATCTCAATAAATACCTTCTGAATGACAAGATAAGGGCCCTCTGGTGTGATCCGAACCACAAGAGTTAAATTCTTACTCAACGACCACGTTACAGTCATCCATTAGGTTAGGAGTCAGCCCTGGATCGAACTTTATAACATGAAGTCAGCATTTAGTTCTTAGAAACCCAGTTAACATATCACAGTTACCTTTGTGTTAGTCATTTCTTCCCCCAATCCACCCTGTGGTCTGTGACCCATGTCCAGGTTAACAATGTGTGAAAAGTCATTCAGAGAAGTGAGGCACACCCGTTTTTCCTAGTATTCACAAGCCAGTCAGAAATGTCACCTTCTAATGCACCCATCCTACTACCCTGACCCCCAACGGCCTCTTTTCGTAGTGCTGAGTCAAGTGCAAAGCCCCTAGACATTTGTCAGAGGGTGTCAGACCCAGGAAGGACTTCTGGTATCACCCAAACTAAGGATTCATTTGTACAAAGGAGCAAGAAGGCCCAGAAAACCTGGAGGGGTGTGCCCACAGTTCACCACCCCGAGAGCTGAGCTGAGGGCATGCTAGAGCTCCTGATGCCAGCCCCAGTCTCCCATGGTGATCCGGGCTGGTCTGAGCTCTGGTGTCTTAGTTATCTAGTGCTGCTATAACAGAAATACCACAAGTGGATGGCTTCAACAAACAGAAGTTTATTCTTTCACATTCTAGTAGGCTAGAAGTCTGAATTCAGGGCGGCAGCTCCAGGGGAAGGCTTTCTCTGTCAGCTCTGGAGGAAGGTCCTTGTCATCAATCTTCCCCTGGACTAGGAGCTTCTACTGCAGGGACCCTGGGTCCAAAGGACACGCTCTTCTCCTGGTACTACTTTCTCAGTGGTATGAGGTCCCCCTGTCTCTCTGCTCACTTCTCTTTTTTACATCTCAAAAGAGATTGACTTAAGACACAACCTAATCTTACAGATTGAGTCCTGCCTCATCAACATAACTGCCTCTAATCCTGCCTCATTAACATCATAGAGGTAGGATATACCACACATAGGAAAACCACATTAGGTAACAAAATGGTGGACAATCACACAATACTGGGAATCATGGCCTAGCCTAGTCGACACATATTTTTGGGGGACAAAGTTCAATCCATAACATCTGGGAAAGAGAACATGCAAGAGATGCTCTGTCGGACGCCTAGCTTGGTTCTGATCTATACGATCGGACAAATCTTGCAAAGTGGTGAGTGTGACTTACAAAGTAAAGAAATATACTGTGGGCCATCTCCAAGAGAGGAGGAGAAAGCTCACCTCTGAACTGGTTCTCCTGCAACACTGCTTGTGGTTTCCACACAGAACCAGAGAAACATGGCCCACCTGAGGTATGCATATACACAGATGCATGAGCAAAATTCTCCAAAACCTCCCTGTGGTTTGTGTGGACAAGCTAAGGCCACCCACCAACCTGACAAGCTTCACCTTCAGCTCTGAAATTACTTGGTGGTCACGTGCTCTGGCTGGCTGGGTTTTAACCCCTCCTCGTCCTCTGGTGGGTGTCTCTGAACTGTTACAGCTTTGAGCTCATGAAGATCAGAAGTGCTCCTCTGAGAACATCATTGGGCTTGGCTACTCTGTGCTTGGGGACCTTGGCTCCTAAGAGCCTCCACAGCAGGCTTCCCCGCATCCTGAGAACACAGGTCAGTGTGAGCCTTTCACGGTGCCTGCTGTGAGTGGTGAGCTGGACACGGCCATCAGGCCACAGCCTGCACGTGGGTGGTCTCGTGGCACCAGGATGTGCAGTGAGCACAACCACTGCTACCTGTGAATGAACCCTCCAAAGAAATCTTGCCTCTGGGTTTGACTCTGACTCAGCGCGCATGCCCATTATTAAAAAGAAGTCCAATTAAGAAATTAGCAACCTAATATGGGGCACTGGACAGCAGAAAGTCAGTGGAGTACCTGAATCACTGCTCTGTGAAGTACACACTGTGTGATTTTGGCCCAGTTAACTCCTAACTCCAGTTTTCACATCTGTAAAATGGACTCAAATCTTCCTCAAGTTTATAGCAAAAATGAAGTGAGATTTAAAATGTCCATTTTCTAAACTGTTCCTGCAGATATACAGAAAAGTTTCTGATTTTGCATGTTGATCTTCTATCTGGTCGCCTTGCTTAACTCCCTCATAAAAGTACAAATACTCTGCCAAGTGATTCTCTGGATTTTTCTAAGTAAATCATATCATGTACAAAAGATAGCTTGGTCTCCTTTCCAATATTTATAAGCTTCTTTTTCTTGTCTGGAACCCTGGTGGTGTAGTGGTTAAGAGCTATGGCTGCTAACCAAAAGGTTGGCAGTTCGAATCCACCAGGCACTCCTTGGAAACCGAATGGGGCAGTTCTACTCTGTCCTGTAGTGACGCTATGAGTTGGAATCGACTTGAAGGCAATGGGTTTGATTTTTTTTTGTTTTCTTGTCTTATTACATTTTTTTCCCAGGACCTCCAGCATGACGTGGAAAAACAGGTGAGGGTGGCCCTGCTTGTCTGAAACCTGACTTTAGTGGGACAATTTCTAATTATTAAATATGATGTTTCAAGATAATAAGAATGAAGTTTTAAAGTTCCTTCTATTCTAGTTTGCTCAGTTTCCATCAGGAGATGTTGGATGTCACCAGATGCTTTTTCTGTATCTATTGGGATGATTAGGAGTCTCTGGGTGGTATAAATGATTAATATGCTCGGCTGCTAACTGAAAGGTTGGAGGTTT